CTGCCCCCCACCCCCACAACTCCCAATGCACACACTAGAAAGAAAACCATAAAACCCAAAAAAGCAGCTCTGTGGTTGGTGTCAAAAGTTCCTTTTTGTGCTTGTCATTCCCTCTGCCTGGAATGCACGTAAAAAACTTTTCAGTGGAGTCAGAATTGTACATCATAACCAACCCTCACTACCTGGATCCTTCTCTGTCTCTCCTAAATTTTCCTCCCTAGTCCCTTTTCTCTTCTATTAGTATTTCTCTTTTCCATAGGCAGTTCCACTGTGGACCCCTATACCCTTTCTAAACCCCTTTTTCTTTTCTTCCCTCCCTTCCTGCTTGCCTTTCTTTCCCTCCTTCCTTCCTCTTTCATTCATTCATTTCCTATTATGTGTCAGGTATTGTTCCAGGGCATACAGCATAAATGAAAAAGAAGAGTCCAGATATTGGGAAGTTTATATCCTGTGGGGGGAGAAGGAGGGGGAAATATCCCAAGATAATAAGGGAATTTCAGGTCATGACAAGAGCTTTGAAGAGAATCAAACTGGGTAAGTGATAGATGGGCCTGGGGGTCGGGAAGGGGGATGGCGACTGCTTTAGAGGGATGGGAAATCTATTGGGAAGGATTAAAATTAAGTTGAGGCCTAAATTATAGGAAAGATTCAGCCAAGGGAAAACTGTTCCAGATAGAGAGGATGGCCACGCAAAGGCCTTGCGGTAAGAGTCAGTGCAGCAAGTCGAAGCAAGTGAACGCGAGCTGGCGTGGTTAGAACCTGGAGAACACGGATGGGAGTGGTAATAAGACATGAAGTCTTATTAATCTGCAGGGGCAAGATTCCACCTGGCCTGGAAGGGAATGTAGGGGGGCTGAATTTTATTCTAAATGCAGTAGGAAGCCAGGTCCTAGCAAAGTAATGAACTATTTATATAGAACACTGACTATTCATTATTTAGTTCCTATGCATTCTCCATAGGCTGGTCCTATAAAGATTTCAGGACAGTGGGACACACAGGAAGAATTTATTACAGGGGCGCCTGGCTGGCTCAGTGGACCATACGACTCTTGATCTTGGGGTTGTGAGTTTGAGCCCCATGTTGGGTGTAGAGAGTACTTAAAATCTTAAAAAAAAAAAAAAGAATTTATTACATACGGAGTTTGGGACACACAGAAACAGGTGACCCTCTGCTTCACTCTACATCTTTGTCTTCCTCCTCCATCTCTCGGACATCTTAAAGCTATCCCATTCCTACATACTTACACCATCTGTTCCGTGTTTCTTTTGAATAAATTCATCATTTGGCTTTGGATTTTCATCTGCTTTTACCCCAGATTATTAGTAGAGCTGCCTCTTTTGAATCAGTTCATTCACTCACATTTCTGTGTAGGACATTAGGGAAAATAATCAAGAAAATTTGTTAAGTTCTAAGCCAAAAATCCCCATTCTTAAGAGTGATGACTCACGACAATGCTACAACACAAGTCCTGGAGTGAGCTGGAAGCCACAGCACATTTCCACTGCAGTTCTAATACATTAAGTACTTTTTAATTACAGTATCAATCATCTTTGACATAGCCCCCAAAGGTTTTCCAAATAAAATCCAGCCTAAAAACAAAACCCGTGCCAGTTAATGAGCATTTCTCAGCAAATTCACTGTAGTTGGGATAAAAATATCCAAGTGGTTCATGTGACTTAAAATTAGCCAACTTCATATTGTGTACTACTGTAACTCACAATGTTTCGTAGTGTATATAAAAATCCCACAGCAATCAACTCCAATTAGAATGCCTCTCTACCCAAACTTAAGTTACCAATTAAATAAGTTCTACCAAATAAGGAGTGTATCCAAGGTAAATTGGATTAATCCCATCATCATATTAATCTGATTTGTTCTCCAGTTGCACGGTTGCATTCTCAACCCTTTTTTCTTTAAACAACAATAAAAAGGAATGCACAATTCAAATGTTTCCACTTAAGAAATACAACTGAATCAGTTATGAATTTTTAAGCCAACAGCCCATAATTGTGAATGGCTACCTTGGGACTCCAAAATGCAGTGTGTGTGTGTGTGTGTGTGTGTTTAGTTTTGATACTATTCACATTAGAAAAATCCATCCAAAGAAATTTGATAGAGGGGCATCTGGGTGGCTCAGTTGTTGAGTGTCTGCCTTCAGCTCAGGTCATGATCCCAGGGTCCTGGGATCGAGCCCCGCATTGGGCTCCCCGCTCTGTGGGAAGCCTGCTTCTCCCTCTCCCACTCCCCCTGCTTGTGTTCCCTCTCTCGCTGTGTCTCCCTCTGTCAAATAAATAAATAAAATCTTAAAAAAAAAAAAAGAAATGAGAGAGAATGACAAAAGTCTTCTCAGGATGCCTCGGTGGAACAGGTGTTTTAATTTGAACTGATACATCTATGCAAATATACCCAATCACAATAGGGAACTTCTTAGGCCCGACAATTATTTAAACCCTGAAGGGTGAGCAGGTTCTGTTAGAGACCTTCACCCTCCTGGTGACCTATGTCCTTTAGTTCTCCTCTAGCCCCCTTGCTTAGGGATTAAACGAGACTTCAGCTTTGGTGTAAAGCTGTCAGCTGTCCTAACCAAGGATAGTATACAAAAACTGGACTCTAGGAATGAGGGAGAAAAGGGAGGGAGATCTAGAAGAGGGTGAGGATAAGACAGCAGAACTGAGCCTGCCTCTGCAGAAAACGTCCAAAGACAGTAGGCTCTAGTTAAGATCGATGGGGGAAGGCATCTTAGTGGATAGGTAGGAAATTAGACAAGGCAAAGATGGCTTTAGCCATCCAGAAATGAAGGAGTCAAGGGAGGAGATATCTGCATGCGGTAGACAACTGAATCCAAAAGAGCAGAAATATAAACCAGCAATGATTCCCTATCTTCTGCTTAGCTAGCTTAGATGTAACTCTCCTGTTGCTGGGCAAAAAAACATTCCTGAGGAGATCCGATCGTTAATGCAACAGACTCTAATTTAGAGTTGCAGGCCGGGGGTGCTTCTGTTCCTGAACATGGGATGAGCCAGTGATGGGGAGAGGATGAATGAAGCAGTGGAATCTGAACATCCTGACAAGTCATCCAGAAGCTCCGCTCACTTTGGACATTCCTGAGCGACACATGACATCTCACGAGAACAGTACAACACACACATAGACCTGCTGGTTCCCCAAAATCCACAGGACAATGAGGTTCTACCACGGGAGCTTACAGAGACATTGTTCTGCCCAGGTTACAGTCAGGTTCTACAAAAGAGATGCTCACAGCACGGATATTTAGAAAATGAACGTGCTTAAGAGAAAAGTGCCGGAGCTGGAAGTCCACTGCTGTCCAGCTGAGCGACCCTGGGGAAGCGGTTTCACCTCCCTTGGCCTCAGTTTGTCCATCTGCAAAGTATGGTGTAGAACTCCCAAGTCCTGTCTACTGGGAGGATGGGAGCTCACTGGAAATTTCAAAGCAAATGAAGACGTGGCGCTGAAACGACCTGTCAACGCTTGAACTCCGATGTCGACATCCATCTTCACGAGGGGACTTATTGGCCTCCGGCTTGATAAGTATCGTCAGGGGACATTTAAGTGTAACTTCGGAGGAGAGTAGTTTTCAGATGCAGGTCTTGGAATAAGCTCGAGAGCAGTCTCAGATCATTTCCAGTTCGAACAAACCATTATTTTTGTCTTGGTTGGAGGCAGCGCCAGGTGAAAGCTGAGCTACATCTCCTTCACAAATCACAACAAGTCAGCCTTTATTCTAGGAGTTTGGTCCAGAATGGCTACTCTCTGGGCGGGAGCCCTATGCCCTACTGCACACCTGAAGCAGTATCACTAATATCTTTATCCAAAATACACTTGAGTGTTATATACTCATTACAGAAGAGAAAAGAACTAGTATTTGCCAAGTGCCTTCCATGGGCTAAGTAAGCACTTGCTGGGTGTTTTATATACGTTCTGTCACTTAATCCTCAAGGCAACTTTCAAAGGTAGGTATGGCCATCCCCATTTTACAGGTGAAGAAACAGAGACTCAGAGTGGTCATGACTTGCCCACATGCACATCGGAAGGACATGGCAGAGATCTGAAATAAAAACTCAGGCCCTTCCGACTTCACAGTCTATGCTTTTGCTACTCTAACAACCTGATACCCAGAAGGAAAAAAAAAAATGAGGTTGAATGGTTAGCCAGCAAAGTTAGGGAAAAGGATATGCTATTAGTAAAGAGCTCACCCAGTTTACGTCATTCTTCAATGTCCAATTTTCAAAGAATCAGAATATGATAGAAACATTCAATATGAAATCACTACTAAACATAAGCAGTCTGACCTTGATGATCCAGAGGTGCTTCCAGATCTTGCTGTGCCTTAAAGTTCTCACTAACAATACTGACCATCAGTATACTACAGATGCATGGGAAAGAAACACCATGTAACAGAAGCGAGATCACCTGCACCAAGTCGTCAGGCACTGCCAACGGCTCTTACCGGCTTTTACCGGCTTTTATCACACCAGGTCAAAGAAACAAATGGAACCTGTCAATATGGTCCTGCCTCTTTGGACATATGTTCTAGACATACATCCATTCTCATGCCCAGTGAGAAAGAAATCCCTTCAAAAGGATCTCACCTTTCACCAAATTCTACCCTTCAAGTCCTAAAACGGTCATTATCTTTGTGCACAATATTTTTGGCAGTCACGAGCTCGATCACAAAGCAGAGCTGACGACGAAGGCAGAACACAACTGGTATTTAAATGCCCCCTGGGCAGGCGGGTCAGACTGCATGAGGCAGTGTGGCTGTGTGGAGGGAGAGGGGTCCTGCCTCAGGGCGAACATCCACTCCTGCCAGAGTTACCAAAGCCAAGGTTCTTGACGTGTACGTTCTCAGCTGTCTCAGTGCCTAGATCCCTAACAACATGAAACAATGAAATAACTGCAAGCAACCATGTCGAAATAAAGAACTCGGTATCGGAATCACCGAGAAGCGGCCAAGTTCAGAAAGGCATTTCTTGGCACACTACAGCAGACTGGGATGAAAGTTGTACCGGAGGCTGGAGAAGAGCCCGATGTGCTTCACGAGGTTGGGCTCCACCACATAGGCCCGCTCCCCCTTGGCCCTCAACAGTGAGTAGAGTGCCATGTCCTTGCCAAAGCCCTTGTGGCAGTACACCTGAGACAGGTAGGTGAGGGTCCGGCGGGCCGCAGGGGCAGGGAAGAGCATGGCGGGGGTGCAACACTGAGAGGCAGGGACCACGCTGTACAGGGAAGGACTCAGCCGCCGCAGTTCCAGGAAATAGTGCCGGCCCACCAGTTCTACCAGACCCATGCTGTACAGGGAGAAGAAGAGCATGACGGGCCAGCTGAACCCTGGACGGCTGGCAAACCGCATGTATATCCAGGTTAGCAAGGGCCCCAGCAACATGCCCACGCCGACCCACTCCAGGATCCGCATGGGCTCTGGGTTGATGTAGTGCTGGAGCCTCTCGGGATGATAGAGCTTCAGATAAAGGGCATCTCTGAGGTGTGGCTCGGAGAAGCGAGCCCGCAAAAGGTGCTCCAAAACTGGGAAGATTTGCTCTTCTGGGACGGCGTCATCTTCCACCATCAGGACATAGTCTGGGTTGTAGGTCTGCAGGGAGGACTCCAGGCAATAGACATAGTCCTGCTTCTCTTTCTCAAACGAGTTGGTCGAAGGGTCATCACCATAATCATCCTCAGTGCCCTCATAGCGGTTGGCCACCGGGACATACTTCGACAGCAGCTTGGCATCGAAGTGGCTCACGCTACGTTCCACATTGCATAGGAAGAGCTGGTGCCCCTCGCACTGGGGGCCGCATTGTTGCAGAAGCCGGTGAAACTGGGACACCACCTGCAAGACATAGTGGAAGCCAGGCTGCCTGTCGACAGTGATGATGGTGATGACCAGCCAGGGGCGGGGGGTGGCCTGCCAGACGATGGGCACCGAGCCATTGGCAGATGGCAGCTCCTCAAAGTAGTGGAGGGCAGCTTCACCCTCTTTCAAACTTTGCTGCAGGAACTCTTGACTCATTTGGTTCAGGTGCCAATGGCGCAGATAGAAATAAGAGTGCAGGAGCCGGTGACAGGCTAGGGGGGCCAGCAAGCCGAATGTCACCACCGTTAAGATCAAGAGCTGGACAGCGGTGCTGCCCCAAGAGAGCCGCCTCAGCCTCCGGAGAAGCATGGCAGTGGGAGGGGCTGATGTGCTCATGAGGTCAACTTCTGGTCAGGTCTGGTCCCAAGAACAAACCATCCTGGAACACAGGCCCGAATCTGCACAAGTCAAACCTAGAGAGAGACAAGTACAGAATGGTAAGAGGCCTTAAAGAACAAACAAAAAAACAACCCAGAGACAGAATGCAGCACATATCAACCCAGAAATTCTAATTCTAAGTTGTAGCTACTAGAGACTTCCAAGTACTTTCTCCAGTACACTATTCTTCGGTTGTGTGGGTTAATGATCTCTGGGATTCTTTCATTATTTCTATGAGTACGGAAATCCTGGTGTACCCAAGCAAGTTGCTACACCCTCAGATGGTTAGTTGGGTTTACAATGTGCCAGAAAGTCATCAGGTTGGCTAGTAAGATCCTTATTTCAATGCAGCAGCTACAAAGACCTGTGTTCTTAAAACAGATGAAAAAGCAAGACTTGACACAAAGCAAATACACATTTAAAGTAAATTCCAAAGTAAGTGTGTATTGACTGACTACGCATAGCAGTTTCTGAAAACTGTCTTTTCTGCACATCCCAAAAAAGAAAAGGACTCTTTAGGATTCTCTGAGATGTCTTTGTCAAGATCTTCCATTCTTATTTCTCTAATCTCATGCAACTATACTTAAAACTGCATCTTAGTTTAATCCTGATTGTTCTCCCATTTTATTTTTTATAGCACTACCACAGGAATCAGTATCTCCCATATGCAAGCGAACTCCAGAGCCCCAGCCGTGGGAGGGGAGGAAATATCTGAAGAAAGGTCCATGAGCAGCTTTGCAATGAAGGAGGGAGGGATAACAGAAATGAAGATGAAAGAGACAGTTACCCCCAGCCTGGTCCAGAAAGGATGTCGCATGACGTGATGGCTCAGAGTGCAGGCTGGAGGTCAGGCACACATGTGACTCCCAACTCAGCCACTCAGTGGGTGGAAAGTCCCATCATTTCTCCACAGCTTTGGGGCGCCTGGCTGGCTCAGTCAGAAAAGCCTGCGACTCTTGATCTCGGGGTCCTGACTTGGAGCCCCACATTGGGTGCTCAGATTACTTAAATAAAACTTTTTAAAAAAATGTATCCATACGGGGGCAGCTGAGTGGCTCAGCTGGTTTAGCATCTGACTCTTGGTTTCAGCTCAGATCATGGTCTCGGGGTTGTGGGATCAAACCCAGTGTCGGGCTCCGTGCTCAACACGATGTCTGCCTGAGATTCTCTCTCCCTCTCCCTCTGCCCCTCCCCCCACTCACGCCTGTGCTCTCTCTCTCAAATAAAATAAACAAATAAAATCTTTTAAAAAAAATGTATCCACACAGGGGCAGCTGGGGGGCTCAGTTAAGTGTCTGCCCTTGGCTCGGGTCGTGATCCTGGGGTCCTGGGATTAAGCCCCGCATCGGGCTCCCTGCTCAGCGGGGAGTCTGCTTCTCCCTCTCCCTCTGCCGCTCCCCCCGCTTGTGCTCTCTCTGTCTCAAATAAATAAATAAAATCTTTAAAAATAAAAAAAAAATAAAAAGGTATTCATACATACAAACTCAAGTGATACCTTGGGAGTAAGGAGGCCTAATGATCTGAGGGAAAATAGACTCATATGAGAAACAGAATTAAAAGGACAAAAGCAGTATAACACCAGTAATGTCAATGCAAAACGAAGCGGTGTCTAAAGAACAGAAGGTAAACCTAAACCTCTTATGTCAGAAGCATAATACAGTGTGTACACATGTGGAAGGAACCGCCTCACTTGTGAGTTACCTTGAAGGAAGGGCCGCCCAGGGACCATATGAGGTTGTAGTGCTGAGTTCAGGGCAGTCATTTCCGTGTCCTCCCTTTCGCGGGCACACAGAAAGACCATATTCCCTAGCTCATCTTCTTCCAGGTGGGGTCCAGTGAGTAAGATTTGCCAGGAAAATATGAGCAACGTGACAGGTGTGACTGCTGGGCCAAGGTGGTTGAGAGCATTTGTGCCTTCCCGACTGTCTCATTCTCCGTTTGCCACCTGAGTGGCTCTGGAGGAGGGTGGAGCCAGCAGATGGCGGGAGCCTGAGGTCTTGAATGATTCAGAGAGGGAGGTCCCTCCCACTACTCACCTCCCAGGAGCCTTCCAAGCTAGAGTGGGCTGTGTGGGGAGTAATACATAATCCACTGTGTCTAGTCACTAATGATTTTTGGACTAGTTTATTACAGCAGCAACCTGTCCAGCCCACTAGAACTGCGTACAATACCACACCTCTCTCTATAAGATAATGACATAATAATTCAATAAAGGCTCATTTCAGCATCAGAAGCACATTATACTGTGGGACCCAGGGGTGAGACAGACTACCCCAGTACTAGTAAGTAGTGCCTGAAGAGGGAAATAGCAGGGAGAGGTTTGAATAGCAGGCAATCCCAGGCCTGCTGGTTTGTGAACGTTCACAGTACGATAGAGGGGATGCTTCTCCCTGTGAGCTGCTCAGGCCAATGGAGTTAATAAATCACGTGGATGCACATCACTCCTAATGGAAACCAAGGACTGAAATTGCATTGAGCTTATACTCCTGGTAAGGAACGGGGTCATTCAGGTGTCTTTCTGCTCGCCTTGTTCTCCCTGCGCTTGCTATTACCCAAGAGAGCGTACCCACTTAGAAGGAGGAACAAAATACAGCCACTAAGATAAGGCCTGCAGCTTGGAGAACGCCAGGCCCATGGTGAGCACGGACGTGACAATGTGACAATGTGACACTGCAGAGCTCTGTGTTTGGTGCCAAATCCCCATCCACACTCCTTTGACACAAATTGGTGAGTTTCTGGTAAAGCAAGAATGTGACGCTCTTTAGTCCAGATCAGTCCCAGGGGTGGGCTGTTTAAGGATTGTGTGTGTGTGTGTGTGTGTGTGTGCGCGCACACACACACACAGTTATCATTTAAAAACATAAATCTGCTCATATCACTCTCCTGCCTAAAGCCCTTCTTTAGCCTCCCATTGCTCTGGTAATAAAATCCACATTTCTTTTTTTTTTTTTTTTAAAGATTTTTATTTATTTATTTGAGAGAGCGAGAATGAGAGAGAGAGAGAGCACATGAGAGGGAAGAGGGTCAGAGGGAGAAGCAGACTCCCCGCTGAGCAGGGAGCCTGATGCGGGACTCAATCCCAGGACTCCAGGATCATGACCTGAGCCGAAGGCAGTCGCTCAACCGACTGAGCCACCCAGGCGCCCTAAAATCCACATTTCTTATTATGGTCCATGAGACCCTTTATGATCTGGACTGTGCGTTAGTTACTCAAAATTAGAGGTTGGCAATATTTTTCTGTAAGGGGCTAGATAGTAAATATTTTGGATTCTGTGGGCCACATACTGTCTCTGTTGCATATTCTTCCTAGACTTTTTCTTTTGTAAAACTCTTTAAAAATATAAAAACTATTTTTAGTGCTCCAGCCACATAAAAACAAGCTGCAAGCCAAATTTGGCCAGCAGCCCATAGTTCACCAATCCCTGTTCTAGACTAGCACTCTCCAATAGAAACATATGCAAGGGCCACTTAGGTATTTAAAATTTTCTAGCAGCCACAGTAAAAAAGCAAAAAGAAACAGATGAAATTAATTTTAATAATATATTTTAAATACAATACATCAGAACTGTTATTTCAACATGAAAGCAATATGAAAAATTATTAATGAGGTATTTTGTTTTTTTTATACTAAGTCTTTGAAATCCAGTGTATATTTTACATTTACAGCATATCTCAATGCAGACTGGTCACATTTCAAGTAATCAGTAGCCACATATCACCAATTAGTAGCTCTAGACACACTGATCTTTCAGAATACTGACTGTGCTACACTCTTATCCAACTCCTGGCCTTTGCTCACACAACTCCCACACCCCTGAACATTTTAGTCCCCCACCCTCCCTGCTTCTTTATGTAGATAGCTGCTTCTCATCCTTTAATACACTCTCCCTGACCCATGCAAAGTAGGGCCTACCAAATTGGCACACACATATTTTGCTAATGGGAGTATAAATCAGCACAACCTCTGTAGAATTAATTTGGGAATATCTAGGAAAACCACTAATGACTCTGCAAATTCCATTTCTAACATTCCTTCCTAGATAAATATTCTCAAGTGTGAGAAATGACTTGCGGCATCATTTGTAATAGCAAAATACTGTCAAGTGCTCATCAATTGAGAGTGAGTCAAATAAATTATGATACATCCAAAGAATGGAATACAAAGTACCCATTAAAAGCAAGCAAACTTGGAAGAGACCAAGATGGCAACATACAAGGCTCCTGAACTTCTCTCCTCCCATTGGATGCATTAAATGTACAGCTACATTATGAGAAATTCCCTGAGAGAAATCCAGAAACTAGCTGAGGAACCCCTACACCTAGGGAAAATGACATAATACCCACGTTGAAAGAGGTAGGAAAGAAAGGCTGAGACACACTCCAGCCATAAACCCCACCCCCAATACAGTGCCCTATAACGGGGAGGGAACTTCCCATTCCCAGCTTCTCCCTGAGGAGTAAAGGGTTTGGGCCACATATCCAGCACCCCAAATTTTAAGACTCCCACCTGAAAGATGGGCTCCCAAAACATCTAGCTCTGAATGCCAATGGGGCTTGCATCCAAGAGACCAACAGGACCATAGCAAACAAAGAAGCAGTTCTTTGTGAGAACATGAGCACTTGCCAGTTCTATCCCCTCCAGGGCTCAGCATGCAGGGAGCAGGCAAAAATGACCATCCCCTAATTTTTCCCTGGAAGGGTTTTGAGTGCATACTTTACAAATTCCTGCCACAGGGTCCAGCTTCTAACTTAACACATATTTAGGAGCTGGCTGAGATTCTCCCTAGAACCCAGGGGAACTGATAGGCACTTCTCCCACCTTCTCCCATGGGCTCACTCCAATGATAAAACCAGATCCCCAGCATCTCCCTGAAAGGAGCTTATACAAAGGCCTGGTGCCCCAGCTTTTGCAGCAAAACCTGAGGGATGGGCCCCTGGATCACCTGGCTCTAATTGCC